AAAATGTACAGAGATTCACCTGGAGGAATATTGTTTGCAGATTCGGAATCCCTCACACCCTCGTTACCGACAACGGCAGGCAGTTCATCGCACAAAGCTTCGAGGACTTCCTCCGTGAGCTCGGTATCAAGCATCTCCCAACCTCGGTGGAACACCCCCAGACCAATGGTCAGGCCGAAGCCGCCAACAAGGTCATCCTCCGAGAACTTAAGAAGCGGCTGGGGAACGCTAAAGGACAGTGGGCTGAAGAGCTTCCCAACATCCTCTAGGCGTATCATTTCACCCCACAATCAATAATGCAAGAAACGCCTTACAGGCTGACTTACGGAGCTGACGCAATGATTTTAGTAGAAATCGGAGAGACATCTCACCGACGCCAAGTCTTCAACAGCGAGCATAACGCTCAAGAGTTAGCAGCTGACCTCGACTTAGTTGACGAGCTCAGAGACGAAGCTCAAATCCACGAAGAAGCCTGCAAGCTCCGAGCTTCCAGAAGATACAACACGCGAGTGCGACCTCGCTCTTTCCGAGTTGGCAACTTGGTGTGGTGATTATTAGGTGAAGCACGGAAAGACACGTCAGATGGAAAACTCGCACCCACCTGGGGTGGCCCATTCCGAGTTGTAGAGGACTTGAAAAACGGAGCATACCGATTAGAAGAACTCAGCGGAAAGCCCATACCACGAACTTGGAATGCCACACATCTCAAGTTTTATTTCAGCTGAACTTGTAAGAATGAGCTGTGCACTCTTTTTGAATTTGTCTAACAAATTTCATTCTTATATTGTATATATTCAATCAGGAACCTGGTCAACCTGAAACCAAGGCCAACATGAGCATAGTAAAAGAAGAACATGCAGACAACCAATCAAAAGAACATGTGATAGCAGAATGTGGTACAAAATTAAGTTATCATGTTGATAAAGAGAAGACAGTAGAACCACACTTCATAGAGAATTTAGAGAATAAGGATGCAAGTGAAATCACATTACAGGAAGCCACAAATGCCAAACAGCCTACTGACGTTGTGATGCAAAAATTAGAAACTAAAGGTAATTAAGTTTTGAAATTTTAGAATTCAAAACCAAAAGCTAAAAACAAACGCAATGCATATATTCATGCCCCCAAAAGAAAAATAACAACATGAATTAGATGATATAAAAATTCTTGAATCCACATGCCTCTATAGGTGGATTATAATACATAAATAGTAATTATATGGCCCCATAAAGAAGCTTCTTGCAGCAATA